TACCCACTATGACTGTATGTATATTATGCATTAGACATTATACATAAAACGATATATGGAACGCTTAAAACTATATGGAGACGTTAGTCCCCCCTGGGATTTTTTTCCACTTTAAGCCCTGTTCCTACTTTACCACACACTGAACGGAAAGAGGACGCTTTCTGACGCTTCATCCGCTATCCAGTGCCGCATTTAGACATTTTGTACCCTGGTGCAAAAAAAAATTAATGCCCCCTAAGCACGGTGAAAAAAAAATTGCTCCCCCCCTAAGGGACCTACCCAAGGAAAATATGGGAGATAGATCCTCATTAACCTTTTAGATTTTGAGCAAAGAAAAGAATATTTGTTTTACAATGTGTGCTTTTTTTTAAAAAATATTCTTTAATAATTGCTTGGATCCTCTCTCAGCAAAAATACATTTAAATTTATGTCATTGAAACCTTGCTATTAGATCATCATATAAGTTTTTTTTTTTAAACATATTTAAGTAGGTACTTCATGAATAAATAAAATAAAATTATATAAAATTATGTAAATTAATATTTTATATTTTTTTTTTGTATACATATAGTGTCATATACTATATAGTATTTATTATTTAATAAAAATAATGTAACAATATAATATAATATTTAAATTTTTCTTCTACTCTGAAGAGTTGAGAATTTTTGAATTACCTGCATCATTAAAATGAATGTTAGTTGTTATATCAGATTCGATATTCATGATAGCTAAATTGTTTAGCGTTTCTTCAGAGGTACTTGACCTCAGATATGTTTTTATACATTTTAAACATGAGAAAGACCTTTCAGTCGATTAATTTCTAACAGGTGTGCATAACAGCATTCTCAGAGATACAACAATCATCAATGTAAGGATACATACCTATCAAATCATTTTTTCTCAGAAAACTTTACATTTCCTGAATGGTTTTAGGAGCCTTATCACCTATACATAATAAGTAGCTCCTAAAATGAACATATTCATTAGCAAATAAAGTGCTGAGATTCATTTTGAAATATTTCAGCATTCTTACGAATTTCAATTGATGTCAGCTCTGTCAATTTGAAAAAGAAATTGTAATTTTTAAGTAGAAGTTATGAAGTAAACAATTCATTGTTAAAGTAAACAATTAATTGATGATGTAATTAATTAATTGAAATTGGATTAATTTAATTTAATTCATATTTCCAAATGACATCTTTTGGAGTAACAGAAATAATTAAAAATAATGCTGCAAATGGTCAACAATTTAATTCAACATGTAATATGTGACATAGGTACCTTTAACAAATTCTAATAATTTTATTAATTTAAGGTATCATAATTTAATATAAAAATCACATTTTAAAATAATATAATACCTTCTTATTTATTTTATCCAACTACATAGATAACAATGCAACTAAATAACAAGCTTTGAATATAAACAAATTAATAACAATCTTAAAAAAACAATATTTTTTATTAAAATTAAAAAAAAAAAAAGAAAAACTTATGTACATAATTTTTTTGAATCAGTCTTTGATTTACAAATTATAAGCATATAATATGTGTTTACATAAGAGGATGAATAATATACAACAAAACTCTTTTTGCCAAAAATGTAACTTGGGTCCCTTTTAATAAATTCCCATTCAATTGTGGATATTTTTTGAGTTTTCCTCGCTAAGTGATTGTAGCATCGTTGATGGGTTTCCAAGAATTTATCTGGAGCTGTTGAACTATGGACATTCTAATGTGATGTGTTTTATGGTCAGCTCTTAGTCACATAGTTCACAGATCGGGCAGTCTTCTTTTATTATGAGGTGCACGTGTGCCCTTGTGATAACTATTTCTTAGAGCCGGGCTGAGGGGAAGGAGGATTTCTATGAGGCGATTGATTTTTTCATTTCTTTAAGTTTATTTGTATTTGGAATCCTCCCACATGTCTTGCCAGTGGGCAGTGACTTTTAGTTAGATTATTGATTTTTATGAGTGTGTCTTGAAATAGTATTAACACTCAAATTAGTTTATACTAAATATAATTAAGTATTTTGTTGTATTTGATTAGATTTTCACAAATGAAACCTACTAAAAACATTTATATTCTTAAAATTGTGTAAATAATTATAATTGTGTTAATATTATTTACATATTTACAGTAGGTTGCTACTTATAATAAAAAAAAACCAACAGATATATACATTTTGTAATTGTATAGTGGATATTAAATGATTTACATTTAATTTTTAAAGGTTCAACTATTGTTTTTTTTATATTAGGTAGTCATAATAATAATTATTAATACAATTATTGAATTATATATTATTGTATATTATGCAATATGTGCTTATCCTAGAGACGTACAAATGCTTGTGGAAATTTCCTCTATAGGTAAATGCTAAAAATAGTTGTTAATTAAACGGTAATTAATTTAAAAACATAATAACCTCATTTTTTAAGTATATATAATACATATAGTTTAGTATGTATAATTTGAAAGGGTTAACTACTTATAATGTTATTACTTTTACATGACATATTTTATTATTAAATAGGTATATACATACTAGCCACTAGGGTGTTTTTTTAACCATACCTTGATTTTGAAATTAAGATCAACATTGAGTTAAGTATAGCAATACTATTAAGTATATAAGAACGTGCAATAAAATAAGTTCTTATCTAGTATACATATATATTTAATCTAAATTAATCTACCCACTTGTTTCTTTTCAATACAAAAGTTAAATTTAATTAAAAACATATTGACTGAACTGAATGGTAGGTACATAATATTATTAAATAACTTTTTTCTTTTATTAGCTTAATTAATAAAGATACAATTAATATAATTTAATTTGTATATTTATTATACTTATAATAGGTAAGTAATAGAAGTTGGTAAGACGTATATATTTAATCAAGCATAAATGTCTTCAAAAATAAAACATTTAAAAAATTAAGAACCATTAAACAAGTAAATAGATTGAAAGAAAGAACTCAAATTGAAGTATCAATTGCATTATAATAGAAAAAAAAATAAAAATCCCTTAAACGAAATAAAAAAAATAACTGTCTAAACTTTTTTTCTAGGGAATTTCAAAAATCTATGATATTCTAATTTAAGTATGTGATATAAAATGTTTAATGCATATAAGAACTATTAGTATTTATTATTTATATATTATAGTTTGGTCATTATTATAGTGATATCATTAATGTTTCAGTAATGAAAAGAAGTATTATATAATTATTTTTAAATAGGTAGGTAAAACCTATTTATTAGATTCTTGATTATTTATCGTTATCTAACAAAATGCTTTATAATTTTTCCTCTTTTTAAAGGTATATTGTTTTATTAACTATTGGTATAATGATAACCAAGACGCACTATAGCCCTACTGAAAAAACGAAACTGGAGGACACTACGATCAGCTGCAGGTTATCATTAAGCGTACTATAAGTAGAAAATTAAGTGTTGATCATGTACATTACAAACCACAATAAGAAACTCAGAACCTATGATGTACGTGATCAACACGCAATATTCAACCTAGTACACGTAGACCATTGAAGTTATCCACTGCTAATATTGTGCTTCTCTTATCTTTGTAGCATAATATATAACAGTAGCCCATTTGTTTGCCAGTGTGTTTATCCCGTGTCAAATTTAGATGAGTGATTTCTCCATATCTAAAATTTAAAACAATTCATTAATTTTTATGACTTAAATGATTAGTAAATTATACAACATTTATAAACTGAAAAAAATATAGACATAATATTGCCTTCAGAAAGGTCATAATGTAATCCACCAACAAATATCCATACACTTGGCTTATAGTCATCATGTCATGAACTTTTATGTTGTAGTTGCAATTCTTATTTACAGAGTTTTTTCCCATTTTTCATATTTCTGAAAAATGATGGAGGATTGACTGTTGTATGAGGGCAGGGCTGGATTGGTATGTATCAGCCCATCGAGATTTTCACTTCTAAGCTGCCCATTTACATATTCAGAGATCCAAAATTAAGTCTATAATATTATTACGAGCTTATAGGTGGCCAATCGTATTTTAAACATGCATTTATTTTCAATCACAGTCACAAAAGTATAACAATATTATGGATTTTATGTAAAAAAAACATTGTACTTACGCTAATGGATCAAAATTTAGATTTAAGAACTAAGTTAATAATATAACTAAGGTTACCATATTACATTATTCCTTTGTTGGTAATTTTTACAGTTGTTTTGTTGAGTTTATTATGTTGTTGACTGTTGTGTAATTGAGTGTTTGGGTTGGAATGTTTATAGTTGTTGAGAACCTGATTAACAAACTGTAACTATTACTGAACAAGGTAATTATAACTACCGTGTAACTAACTAAATAAAGTATAAACAGGCATGAAATATGAATGCCATGAACGGACAACGGTTCGAAAATCGAAATTAGAATTCCAACTCTTCATTACGGTTATCAGCTATAATTTCTTATCTCGGAGCAGAACTGTCCCAATCACTATAATATGCTATAATCACGGACTAAGATATTAGCATAGAACAATATTAGCTATTAGCATAATATATTGTTAGTCCGTGGCTATAATTTTATTCTACCTTCGAATTGCTACGATTATTATTTGCCATTTTTTTTTTCACGCTTCCAGTACACACCGTACTATAAATACCGTATCCCCCTACTCCTCGAAATTACACAATTTGCAATCATATTATTCTCGTGACGTCTCCATTCTATAATTATAATTAATTCCGCGTACTTTGTCTAGATTTTTTTTCAAGTTCCCCAGTCTCTCTGCTCTCTATTGTTGACGTCGTAATATCGTCGGGCCTTGACGTCTGAGAACGGTTTTTTGGTCGATTTCATACCGTTCTATTACGTTTGCCGATTTTCAACCCGCATCCGTCGTCAGATCGCCAGCGAACACCTCTTCCTGTAGCCGAGTGGAATTCCAAGAGACCAGTCGTTACCACAGGAGAAACGAACATACGCATGTCAATCCAGAATCTCAACGTATTCGGTAAGCACAAATATTGGGATGATGGGACCCCGCTTTAAGCGGTCGTCCCACAAGAGTTGAACACGGAATTTAGGTTTTTTTCGCAGATATTCCAATTTTGGTAGCGTTGACGCGGACGGTTGTCGTCTCCGCTGCCTTGGCTTCTCCAGTGACACCGGTCACGGAGTGTTTTTTAAGGCCAACCGGTGTGTTGCCTTCAAAAGGAACAAAAACGAACCATTTTTTCGAGATTTTGCCCATTGATTTGATGGCCATTCTCGTTGTGGGTGTCGATTGACGTCATTTGATTTTTCTTTTTTATATTTTTTTTTGGCAATGCGACTACGAAAAATAATTTATCTACGTAATATGTATCTATATATAGTTATACTGTACGAGTAAAGCTATACATTTCCTTCACAATTTTTTATTTTTTATTTAACACAAAACACTAACTACCGACTTATAAAATAAACTGTATACATTTTACAATATACCTAACTGTTTAATATAATATATTATTTATATTACTTCGAAAAAGTTGTAAGTTATAATTTCATAATAAAATACATTTTTAATTAATTAAACTATTGGACAGCTCATTCCACTCCTCCCTGCCCCTTGTACCAGGTGATCATATTATAACCATAATATAACTGAGAGAGAAAGAACATAAAGAAAGTAGTGAATTGGCCCGCATAAGGAACTGTATACATTTTACTGTTTTGTTTCTTTTCTCACTCACTCTACCTATATTGTACTCCTGACTTCTCTCTCTAAGCGCTGTCCATAAGTTGATAGGTCTATGATTAAACCCCATTGAATCTTTATTACATGAATTAAAAGTTGTATTCATATCATGTATGAATTACATTATTTATATATAATATATAGGTCTCCCCTATTCATCTTAAAATGAAACGGTTGATCTCTGGCTTTATAAACTAAATAGGTACCTATTAAAAATTATTTTAAAATAATCCACCCATTTATATGTTTAGCACCTATTATCTATAGGTTGGTAGCGATACAGTATAATATCTTTGTACGCAATATTATAATTTATAATATTGGTATATCACTATCGTTATAATTATTATACACATAATATCATGGATTTTCAATACGATTGTCACGTAATATGATGAAATTAGAAACGTGCTACAGCTTACGCATACCTCTTCTAGTATTCACTTGACTACTCCACAACAACAACAACAAAATAATTTATAATTGAAAAAACTTGATACGTTTATTTCAGATACACTTTAAAATGTATAACTAATCTAAGGTTACTGACAAGGAATTTTTTTTAAATTTATAATTTGTTAGTGAATGTTAATTATGTTAATTTGCTTGATGAATTTTAACTTTGTATAACTTCCATGAAGTTTATTAGTTCACACTTTCATAGTTTCATCATAGTATGATAAGGCAATTACAATTAACAGTTGTACTATTTTGATTATTTTTGTATTAATTAGTAAATAATTGACTATTTAATGTTAAAATAGCTTAATGTTGATATTTGATATTTAAGACCCGTTTGCTGATGCAATCAAGGGTGCAGACGATGACGTTCAAGACGGGCTTGTTCACATAAGAATTCAACAGCGTAATGGTCGTAAAACATTAACAACGGTTCAAGGTCTATCTTCAGAATATGATTTAAAAAAGATTGTACGCGCCTGCAAAAAGGTAATAAGTCTTATTAAATATTTTTTATTAAAACTTATTAGCTATTTATTTGATTGTTCTTAATTTATCCTGTTTCTTATAATATTTAAAAAAATTAAGAAATGTAATAAACATAATACCCGTTTAGACACAATGCAATTAGTTAAATATCAATGTAATTACAAAAAGTAGGTACAACTACAAGGTATCCCTATCCTATAAAAATAATTTTTTTAATATACTTAGAATAAGAGTGGTACCAGGCGGCCGACTTGTGTGCATGGTCATGACTTTGTTCCAATTGCCGAACCTGGTAGTTGACTTGGTTGGAGAAGTATCTGATCACCGCCAGACGAAAATCGGTCGCCGCCCTGTACCACTCTTATTGTGGATAGAGTATAAATGAGATATAATTTTAATTCCATTTAATAATTAACCTATTTAATCAGAAATTGCTTAATGATCAATCCAGTAAAAGATAACTTAAAAATAAAAATACTTGTATACATTTTTCATATAATAGAAATGTATATATTACAGTTACTTTCCTTCCAATATAATATTATTTAAATGTTGAAATTTTCATATTTCAGGAGTTTGCTTGCAACGGTACAGTAGTTGAACATCCTGAATACGGTGAAGTGTTACAATTACAAGGGGACCAGCGAGAAAACATTTGCCAATGGTTAACTAAATGTGGTCTTGCCAAGTCTGATCAACTCAAGGTCCACGGTTTCTAAAGAAAACAATTTAAACACTACAAAATATCTTGGATTTTTAATGTGACGATTTTCAACAACTTAGTCAAACAAATAATAATAAATTCAAAATTCTCAATTTCATAACATGGTTTAATTAATAAATGTAATATTTAATTCTAAGGATTTTTAAAATCATTTAATTTTCAACAATGTAGATTTTAATTAGCATTAGTACATGTATATCAATGCTACTTGCAGATTTAGAGAACATTTTTTCTTTGTTTCCATAAATGTAATAGGAAAAAATAACTAATTCTGTATTACCCTGGAATTCCACATATGTAATGTGATGAGGATATTATAAACTTTATTATATGTACCTAAGGTTTTTAAAGTTTTCCTTTTATAAAAATATACATATTTTCAGATTTTCTTTCATTTATAAACTATGATTAATTGTCACATGTTATGTAAAATGTATTCAAAATATAATAATATATGCTCTCATTGCAAACAAGTGCAGTAAGTCCTCGTTTAAAATTATTTCATTAATAAAATGAACAACTCTGTTTAGTTAAACTTTTATCAGTTTTGCTGTTAATTACCTTATTACTTAGTATTTACTATTTAATGATTTCATCCGTATGCATAAATTGATAAATTGATTTTGACTGACACCTATTCTTTATTTGATGTCTTAATTCACATTGTTTTTTTCAGAAACAACCATTATATTAAACAATTATTTACTAAATATTTTTTTCTTCTAGGTCACTAAAATAATCTTATATTAAATAGTCGTATATATTTGTATGATTAAACATAACTTTTGTATAAAATCTAATTAAACGTCCATTAATACATACATTTAATAATAATATAAGATAAAAAAACTAAATTCTAGAAAATATTGCTCACTTAATTTGTTAAAGTTATAAACTTATAATAAATGAAATAATTCATTTTTAAATCTTACACTAATTATTTCTATGTGTGCAGTAATTTGTATTGTCAAATACTAGAAGTACAAAACATTTACTTGTATAATCTCCTATGATCTTGAACAAAACTCTGTTTGTTGTGAACATGACTTTCCCAATATTACCTACTAAGCCAAACGAGAGAAAAATGCTAAAATATTGATTCATTTTTTTTCAAAGAAAATTAAACATTTGCATTCCAGTCTGTATCATTGTTTTCTAAAAAAAATACTCATTGAATTATTATTCTTAGTTATCTTAACACGTTGACGACTAAACAATTATTTTTTAAGATAATATTATCTTAAAAAAATCTTCAAAAACACGGTCTTCGTCCTAAATGTGTTAATGATAAAAAGTAAAAATATTATATAATATGTGATAGTTATTTTAATTTTAATTATTTATTGGTTTTCTATATTCAATTAAGTTTTGAATATCATAAAATACCTTTTAACAAATTTCTTAAACTATAAATTCTACATTATAATATTATTAACTTCATAACAATTCTTATTTCCACATCATTAAGCTTGGATATATTTGAAATAATTAATATTGTATCTTTTTTTTATGTTATACTATTGAGTATACAAATATTATAATATCTAAATCAGTTCATAAAATAATCATAGAAAAAATATGCCTCAAATAAATGTATGCATAGATATATTTCTTTACATAGGTTAGTTTATAATTTTTATATGCTAAAATATTAATTTTTATTAAAGACTTATATTTTTAATGATAAATAATTATTATAATTAATAAGTTATAGCAGAAGCTTGGTAACGCTATCTCAGGAAAAATTAATATTGGGAATAAGAATTTATAAAACAGCAATATTCCTTCATTTTTGTTAAGTTAAATATCAATATATATTGTTTAATTCTATGATTTTAGTATACTGAATATTATTAACTATTAGGTATAGTATTCAATATTAATTACTTTATAGGTAATGTCCAATTAGCGTCTTAAAGTCTATACCTACAGCCAAATATTAACACTATTGCATACAATACATAAGCATACATACTGTGAACTTTATAGATTATGATTTTCTTTTTCTTTTTTTTTTTATTACATTTAGGAAATTGTTGTAGTTTTGTAAAAAGGGAGGGTGTAAACTAAAAAAAATCAAAAAAGGTGTGGGTAATTTTCTAAAAGTTGTATAAAGATCACTGTTTTGGATATATATTATTATATTTTGCTGTCTATGCAGAACACCAAGGTGCAGCCAACAATTGATTTTAAAGTGGTTGTTTATTATGAATAATGAATAATAATAGGTTCCCTAATCAATTATGAATAAATAGAAATAATTTACATCACATTCTATGAGTGATTTACTATAATAACTTCAATTAAAATAATTTATCTACATTGCATGTAAGTATGTAACTATTTATTTTAGTTCTTATTAGTCATTACTAGTTAACACAAAAAATATTATGTTCATTGTTCATTGTACCTATTAATTATAAATCAATAATCATACTTAGTTATTTGAACAGAAAACTATTTTAAATATTCATTAAGTTTTTACTATAAACAATTATTAATAATTAAAAACTAGAAAAGCATAAATACAACTACAAAGCATAAATTCCTTTGAGGAAACCAACAAATAGTAAACTATTTACTATATTTTTTTTTCCATTGTAATATGCGATTGACAAAACTTAAACTTCCCATTCCCTATCAAAAACTTAAATGATGCCAGTGTGTGATGGTCTTACTCTATATTATATTATGCAGTGTTTTTTAAAATTAACTGTCCGATGCTTTGCACCTGACTTATCTTAGTTCACTTGACATTGGCGCAACTACACATTTGAACTAGGGGGTGCTTAAGCTCCAGGTTTTTTTGTGATTCAATGAGACCTAACAAATAAAAATTTTCTAGGGGGTGCTAATTTTGACTTAGGGGGTGCTAAGGACCCAAAGCACCCCCCCTAGTTGCGCCAATGTCACTTGATCTTATGTCTTGTGAATATGCGACTACTTATTGTAGGTATACCAATGTTAAAGATACTGTGTACATACCACCATTATCTTTAACCACAGAGGAGTTATATAAATTAGCGGACTCGATTACAATGCATAGAATAAATTTAAGTTCCGACTAGAAATGATGATCGTGTGACCCGGGAAAGCCATACAGAACATTTATTGCTTATAGGTACCATTAAATACATTTGAAATTTTTTTCCTTTATTTGATGCATCATACATTACTAGGAGTAAAAATATTTCATTTTTGTTCTCTTGGGCCAGATCTTTTCAAAAATAAAAATAAAATTAAAAACTAATAATCATTTGAAATTGTGTGAATCATTTTGAATACCTAACTGTGGTATAATATAATCTGAAGAGATATATTGTTGCTGACAGTAGTATACCGGTATCCGTACCTCGTAGTTCCTACCTACACACTTTCCAGTTTCCATGTAATATACACTAGTATAATTATTGATAGCTTTGTTGGGAACTCTTTCCAAAGAACCACACTTCTGGAATGAGTTCTGTTTTTGAAGAATAAGTCTGATCAAATCCAACTTAAAATATGATTTGGAATAAAAACGAACCGGTGAAGTCACTTTGCTGTATAGTATAAATGTATAGGTTACTACTTTCTTGTGTAAGTACCTACCTCGTCACAGCTAATAGATACCTACCTACAACCTATGATGAATTTGAATTAGCTGGGTAGGTACGTTATGTACCTACTAAATGTACGAAAAACGATTCTGAGTCGAAACAGATGCAGCCACTATATTGTGCTCTATTTATAAGGATATTTTATAATTTATTAATATTACTATATTGGTAATTTGTTTTCCTATAAATAGACAATAATATAGGATTGATTCAACTAAATGTTGCCCGAAACAGTGCATTACAATATATAGGCACATAGGTCTGAGGTCAAGCCGAATTAATTAAAAAATCTATTATCTATTAGTAGGCAGGGCCGGATTTAGGATTGTGGGGGCCCCAGGGCCCATATAAGGCGGTTGACAAGTCTTCTGTAAAAGGTACTTATTCTGCGGGGGACCCTTATCAATTGAATCTTGATTCTCCCTAAATCCGGCCCTGTCCGTAAATCGTAGGGACTTAAAACTTTTCAGTCTTCGCCATTATTACTAGTATAATAAAAATATAAAATATAAATAACATTATACGAAGGCGCTACGTGTATTAGTTCGTAGCTAATTTAGCTGTCTGCCGTCCGCGTCACAACACCTATCGGTATAGTCGTAAAGATATTAAAATATTTTAGCTATTTTACCCACCGACGGCCGCTATGAGCGGACTTCCGTGAGTTACAATCACGATATAAGACAGGCAATCTTATATTTATTTAATATCGTCTTAATTTGTGGTTACTGTTACACCGCCTCAGAGTAGGGCACTATATAGATATAGGTATGCTACGCCGCCATTTTGCGACTAATAATCTTATGTGAATATGAATTTCTCCTCCTTTATTTTATCAATGATAAATTAGTCGCAAAATGGTGGCATAGCATACCAAATTTATATGTAGAGCCTTTATCAGAGTGTAGGTGGATACCACTGCAGTATAACGCAATGCTGCGTACCTATATAATAAGTTAATTTGTATTTGTATGCCTATAAGGTACCTAGTCCAAAAAGCGCGGCGGACTAGGACAACATTTTTAAACGTTAAGTATTTTTCCGTGTTCTAAATAGTGTACAAATGCGAAGCGGTAAGTAGCGAGCCAGCCTATAAATTTAGGGCTGATTTATGAATTTATACTGCAGTAAGTTGTACTGCAGTGGCGTATGTAGGGGGGAGGCCCCCTAGGCCAGAGCCCATACTGAAATTACAGGTTGAATTAAACCATTTCATGTATATCTACACTGTTTACAGTTTTTCACCATGATTAATTTAGCCGATTGATTAAAATCGTTTTGAGGAATCAACAGGGAAATGTTAGATTGTCAGGACTTGCTTTGATGACTTGTATGTGTTAAATTCACAATAAGATAACATTAAAATATATAATATGTATGTATGAAATTGTACATT